CAGGCATACCTCCATTTATTGTGATTTGCTTTATTGAGCTTCACAGATATTGAGGTTTTTACAAACTGAAGTTTTATGACAATCATACATTGTGCAAGTCTGTGAGCATGTGCACACCTTGTGTTTCTATTACATTTTGGTAATATTTTCAATTATTTTGTCATTATTATATCTGATCTGGTGATCAGGGCTCTTTGCCAGTCATTCTGGGGCACAGTGATCCAGGCCAACATGCAGTGAACTTACTGACAACCACCTGTCTCCGTATCTCTTCCTTCCCTCTGGCCTCCTTCCCCACTGAGGAGGTAACTGAGTTGTTGCATCTGCATAACCAAACTTGAATGATGATGAGTTGTTTCTTATGGATGAGAAAAGAAAATGTTTGCTTGTGATGGACTCTATTCCTGGTGAAGGTGCTGTGCACATTGTTGAAATAATAAGAGAGGATATAGGATATGAAGTAAGCTTAGCTGATAAAAGCCAGAGTGAGGTTTGACCTTTCTTTCAATTTGGAAAGAAGTTCTATTGCAGGTAAAATTGTTTCGAACACTATCACATGCTGTAGAAAAATCTTTCATAAAATGAAGAGTTAATTGATAGAACAAATTTCACTATTGTCTTATTTTAGGAAATTGCATAGCAGGCATGGTGGTGCATGCCTGTAATCCCAGCACTCAAAAGGTTGAGCCAGGAGGATCACCATGAGTTTGAGACCAGCCTGGGCTACATAGTGAGTTCAGGGCCAGCCTGAATTATATAGTAAGGCCTGTCTCTGAGAGAGAGAGAGACAGAGACAGAGACAGAGAGAGACAGAGACAGAGAGAGAAATTGCCACAGCCAAACTTCAGCAGCCACTTCCCTGATGAATCAGCAGCCATCAACATCCAGGCATAGTCCTTCTAGAAAGACTATGACACTGAGGTCTAGTTAGGCATGCGTAGAGCTCTGGGCATGCCCTGATCCTGGCCAATTAGTTTTTTAACACAATAATCAAATAAGCAAGTAGGGAAAAAGGAGGCAAAGCAGAGCCATAGGGAAACCATTGTCCCTGGCGTATAGAAGGGAGCAGGGCTCTGAGAAGAGATGGCGTGCTGGATGTCCCGGAGCACTGGGGTGTAATCTGGGCTGCAATGGCGTACCATGGCACTGACGAAATTCTTCTGCAGAAGAAGGTAGTCCTGGCCGTAGTCCCTCAGCTGCTCTTGGGAAAGATGATCCACGATGTCCTTTTCTTTCTTGGCCCATACATCACTTGTGCCTGCGATATCTGGAACATGAGAGGTTAAACAACATCAGGTGCTGGGAAGGCCTGGCCATATCAAGACAGCAGGTACTGTGAACTGGCCTCTGCTTGGAAGGATCAGTATTTATAAACACCTTTCAAAAGTTGCGCTTCATAGTGCCATTTATTTTTTGTTTTTAAACCTACAGATAGAAAAGAGCACACGTGATTGGCTCTTAATAAGTAGTCAGCCTGTGTAACCAGCAGACAGATCCACAGCAGAACGGAGCTAGCTTTGAGGTCATCCCTCCGCCCCTCCCCAAGAGTCACTGTCCTCATTCACAAGGCACACACATTTTGTCTGGTTCTAAATGCTGTGTAAATACAATCGTGTGCATTTCAGAGTCAGCATCTTTGCTCAAAACTAGAAACCATCTGTGTACTGTGCATTCATTTTCTTTGCTGCATAGCTTTCCACTACATAAATACACCATAATTATTTGTCCAATATACTTTGGTGGGCATTTGTATTGTTTTCAATTTAAGGCCCATTATAAATTCAGCTGCTATAGACATTCTAGTACAGTATATGTGTTTTGATGACTATTAAATATATATACCATATAATACATTATCTATAATATAAC